ATATATATATATATATATATATATATATATATATATATATATATATATATATATATATATATATATAAAAGTGGTTGGTGGAAAATAAAAGAACAATTAGTCAACTTATTTGACCAGTTGTATAAGTTTACTGACTAATTCAAACATAATATAATAAAGTGACGCATGATCGATCCATGGGCCATGGCGTCACTATTTTTTCATCAAACACTTAATAGGCGAGTTTACAACCCAAAAACCTTTAAGAATCACCCCAAATATCTTAAGAATCGCCCTAAGAAGAGAGAAATGAAGAGAGTGAGAGAAAGTTATCAAACCCTAGCCAAAAAGAGACTTAAAAGCTCGTCAAGGGATTCTGGCGACTTGGGAAGAGACTTAAGTCACTTGGAAAGTCGCCCGAACACAAAATCAGCACTTTAGAGTCTCAAGCGACTTGGGAATCGTGTCAACCATCTTGACACTCAACTTTTTGTTTTTAAGTTGTTTTACGACTTCTCGTGCGACCAAACTTGCATGGGAAGTCCCTTAATGACCAGAATGGATTTTGACACAACCTTTCTTCATCCAACTCAACCACAAAAATTCCATAATGGTTGGATATCAAATGGCTTGCCAAAACGAATCTATATTCTTTAACGATTAACCACAAAATACGTGTATTACACCACTAATTTCCTACTGCTATCTCCAAAGATTATTAGGGTTTTTATCGGACCACATAATTTAAATAAGTGTGATTTTTATTGCATCTTTTGGTTGGACGTCCTCTTGTTGATTTTTTTGTAAAAACCGTACAAACCACCCTCATACGTCGATTTATTGTTTAATTTTATGAAATTTTTTCATGAAATTGTTTAATCTTGTGAAATTGTTTCATATGATACTTTTTTTGATGAATTTGTTTCAAATATGGTTATGAAATTGTTTCATATAATATTTAATGAAATTTTAATGAAWMTGTTTCATGTATTTCTCTAAAATTAAAATAGTGAAGATGATAATATCCATGATTAACCCCCTCCACAATAAAAATGGTTAATCAACCTCTCATAATTACAAAAAAATGAACAAAATGAAAAATTATGATTGGTTAAATGAGGTTTTCACGGTTTTTACAAATTGAGTGATTTTTATTTGAACGCTCCCCTATATATATGTATATATATATATATATATATATATGACTTGAGATTATGTGAGACCAAAGGTTTTTTGTGAGACCCGTAAGACCAATTCTCAACCGTTGGATTAGATCTACAATCTGAACATTCATAATCACAAAGTTGCCATGAGACTTGTCAATAATCACAAAATTATCACCGTACAACTTTAGACTATTAAATCATTAGCTTATAAAGTTGATCAATGGACATAAATTGGTCTTACGGGTCTCACGGAAAACCCTTGATCTCACGTAAACACAACTCCATATATATATATATATAATATATATATATATATATATATATATTATTATCAATCTTTCTTTAATACATATATCATTGGTTAAAAGAGAGGTTGCAAGGGTTGCAAAAAAGAAAAGGTTGTAAAAGAAATATACGATATATATATATATATATATATTTGGGATCATGTGAGACCAGCATGTTTTCGTGAGACCCGTGAGACCAGGATTTTACACTTGAAACTTCACAGCAAAATGCTGTGAAGGTGAATTTTTAAAACCTTCACAGTGTTTTGCTGTGAAAGTTCGACTTTTTTTAAACCTTCACAGTGTTTTTGCTGTGAAGGTTCGACTTTTTTTTAAACCTTCATAGTGTTTTTGCTGTGAAGTTTACGTGTAAAAATGTGGTCTCACGGGTCTCACGAAAACAGGCTGGTCTCACGTGAACCCAACCCTATATATATATATATATATATATATCATTATCAATCTTTATTTAATACATATACACGTGTATTTGTGTGTATGAAAATGAGACGTTATGGACATAGAAAAAGATGCCTATTTGACCATATCATCTATTAAAATTAAACCCTACTGACAACGAATATCATTTATTAAATATTAAATAAAATAAAATATACGTCTTCCCCAACCCCCTCAATGCTTAGAAACCTGCAATACATATAGCTACAAAGCTCGACTTCATTTCTCAAATCAATTTTCTATGGCGAAAACACCTCACATCGCCATTTTTCCAAGTCCAGGAATGGGTCATCTCATTCCAATGGCCGAATTTGCTAAACGACTCGTCAAGCACCACCATATCTCCGCCACCATCATCATCCCCACCACCGGACCTCCGCCCAAAGCCCAAACATCCGTCCTTGAATCATTGCCGGAAAACATCCACCACATCTTTCTCCCACCAGTCACTACCGTCGCCGACTTACCGGCTGGTTCACGGCCGGAAGTTAAAATTTTCTTCATCATTCAAGCCAGTCTTTCAAGCATTCGAGATGCTTTAACTTCTTTGAAATCAAAAACCCATTTGGTTGCTTTAGTATTCGACATGTTTAGCCATGATTCGTTCGAAATTGCACAAGAACTTAACCTCTTTAAGTTCTTGTTCTTTCCCATGAACGCCATGGCTTTATCTTTCAGTTTTATATTGCCAAATCTTGATAAAGAGATAGTTTGCGAATTTAAAGATCTCCCTCACCCGATTAAGGTTCCGGGTTCGGTTAGTTTTCATGGCCGAGACCTCATGGCTCCGGTTCAAATCCGAACCGATGAAGCATACAAAGGGTATCTTCAGTTGTCCAAACGACTAACTTCTCTTGATGGTATCTTGGTGAATAGTTTTCAGGAGTTAGAAGCAGAAACCTTTCAAGTTTTGACCGCCGGAGTTACCGGTCAAAGTCAAACACCCATCTACCCGATCGGACCATTGATTCGGTCGGATCCAAGTAATGGGTCGGACCGGCACGAGTCTTTAAAGTGGTTGGACCATCAACCAACTAAATCTGTGGTGTTGGTTTCTTTTGGAAGTGGTGGAACCCTATCTTTAGACCAGATTCATGAACTAGCCACAGGGTTAGAAACAAGTGGCCAAAGGTTTTTATGGATCGTAAGAAGCCCAAATGAAAAGGCTTCAAATGCTTCTTTTTTTACTGCTTCTAGCCGAACTGATTCTTTAGGGTTTTTACCACAAGGGTTTCTAGCCAGAACCAAGAACCAGGGTTTAGTGGTGACGTCATGGGCTCCACAGATTGAGATACTGAGCCATGGTGCAACCGGTGGGTTCTTGACTCATTGCGGATGGAATTCAGTTCTAGAAAGTGTGGTTCATGGGGTCCCAATGATTGCTTGGCCTCTTTATGCAGAACAACATATGAATGCTAAAGTGATGACTGAATCGCTTTCGTTGGCTTTACGAGCTGAAACCGATGAACATGGAATCGTTCGAAAAGAGGTGATTGAAAAGGTTGTGAAGGATTTAATGGAGGGAGATGAAGGGAAAAGGGTATCGAATAGATTGAATGAATTAAAGGTTGCCGCCATGAAAGCTCTAAGTGATGGTGGTTCTTCAATGGAGTCATTATCCAAGTTTGCAGTACGGTTGATCAGTAAATGACCAATTTCTTTACCCATTTTACTTTCTGTTTATATCTCATCGAGTCCTTGCATTTGGAAATTTCTTACATGTATCTCCACTTTCGTATTAATCTTTTTGTTTTTAAGTATATAATATTTATATATAGTAAGTAAAATAAATAATCTTACACACCCTCCTCATATTCGGTGAGGTTTGAATCTTTGATCTTCTAGGAAGCTAATGACTCATATACCATTAAGTCAAAAACCTTTTTTAAGGTTATATAACCTTAAATCACATTTTGATCAAATCGATAACCTTATGATGAATCTTTAATTATAGTTTAACAGGACATAAATTTAATGTAACAAAGTTTAATGATTTGTTTTTCTTAGGGGTTGTTTGTTTACCTTTTAGTAGTTTCATTAAGAGACAACCTTTAAATCGTTAAGAGATGAATCTTGTTTGACAAAAAAAAAAATTGTTTCTTAATGGTTCTAAAACCCTCTGAATGATTTTGTATCTTGGATCTCCCTTAACCATTAAGATCCCTGATTTCATTATATACAATTATTAAACAATTATATTTTATTTTGTACTATATCATGAGAGTATTTTAATCATTCTGACCACTTAATCATTCTGCACCAAACCATTCAGTAATTGCCAAACAGCCCCTTAGTTGATGTAATAAACTTTCAATCGTTGCTATTTTATACCTATTTAAATAAGCTATTGACGTTTTTAATGATTTGGATGTCAAGTTGTCAATTATGGGGTTGTTTGGGATTGTTTATTGAAGCAACTTATTGACTTATTTCGATGTGGCATCGGTAATAATTATTTTTGAGTGTTTGGATAAACAACTTATACCGGTGCCAAACCGGTAATAAGAAGTTTTTGAAGAAGTTAAACCCATCTAATTCTTAATAAGTTGATAATGAATTTTGTAGAAAAGTATAAGTTGTTTCAAATAAGCAATCCCAAACACCCCCTATATTGTAAAACTGGCCACTTGAATTATCAAGTGAGATTATATAGTTTTATTATTTTTTTAAGACTCGAGATTTTTAATTTCAGTATTTTCGTTCACGTGTTTTGAAAATTGGTTTAATAGGTAAAATGGAGTAGATATAAAAAAGATTGAAACTTTGTTACATCGATTATATTGCATTTCACCCTTATTTATTTCCTACACTTACTCAAGCAAGTTTTCTATTACCATTTTTTTCCATTTCCCGCGTTACCCGTTGATGAAAATTTATCAACTAAAGAATAAAACAAACCGACACAATTATGAAAGCAGAATTCATGGTTATTGTCCGCAATACCATTTCCATCAAAGATTCCCGTCATTTAATTATTTGTATCTGAACGGTTTACATTAAACGCTTCCGTCTTTATAACAATCATCGAGAATCTCCATTAACAACGATGCCTCTAATACCGATCCTGAATGTCAACTGTTTCTAGTGATGTCATTTTCATGGAGAAGGCTTTATGGGATTCCTATTCGATTTGATGATATTCTAACTTATCTTGCTTCAATATTCATCTAGCATTTGTTTATTCTACAAGTAATCATCATTATCTCTTTTTATTTATTGATGCAGAATTTGTTATATTTTGGAAACATAATATCAAAATCGTTTGGATAATTTAAGGATCATGTATATATAAAAGACTTTTCAAAATCTGTGATTTCAAAATCCAATTATGGATTTTAGGCAAAACCCAAGATCACACACACATAATGCCCTTGCTTGTTTATGTTGCTTTAGTGACAAAATCCGGAAGAGTAACAGTGAAGATGATCTGCAATCATCGAATGAAGCCTTATATAGTTACTGCCGCTAGGGGCTCTGCCCCTTGGACCCGGCCAGGGGAGATGCCTTTTGGAACTCCACTAGGGGCACTGCCCCCGGACCCCCATTTTTCGAAGATCAACTTAACTTATCCGAGCGTTCACTCCACACCTCTGGGCTCGAATTATAGTTAAGTCTAATTTCGACTTGCCTCACATTAAATCCGATCATGCTAAATGACTTTTAAAATCACTAACAGAAATTCGGTTCTTTATGAAAAAGACAAGGGAACAAATAATAAAGAGACGAATAAAGAAAGAAAGAAACCACTACCCAACTAATCCACCAGAAAGTGTGAAGTAAATTCAATTAAACATTTAATTAGTTTATTTTCAAGATAATATTATTGTTTATGCAAGTGTGTTTCATATACCATACATATGTATGGCAATGTTAATTTTGTGTTATATGTAAAACAATTATGCATGTTATGTATATAGGGAGGTTCAAACGAAAACAACAAATAAATAAGAGAATATAAATAAGGTTAAATACATGCAAAATCACATGTGATTTTACACTAACGGTTGACGTATGGGGTATGCGGGCGACATCGCCCGTGACCATAGGTCGCAGCCAAACTTACTTTAAGTCGTATGTGATTTTACACCTGATTTTAGTGTAAAATCCTATGTGGTTTGACTATATGTATGGAATAACACTGAATATTTTAAATTGATTAATTTTAAATGTAAAATTGGCTCTCATAGTTCTCAACTATTATCTTATTCTTTTTTATGTGTGTATCTTATATATATATATATATATATATATATATATACTTGAGATCATGTGAGACCAGCTTGTTTTCGTGAGACCCGTGAGACCAACATTTTACACTTGAAACTTCACAGCAAAATGCTGTGAARGTGACTTTTTAAAACCTTCACAGTGTTTTTGCTGTGAATGTTCGAATTTTTTTAAACCTTCATAGTGTTTTTGCTATGAAGTTTTAAGTGTAACAATGTGGTCTCACGGGTCCCACGAAAACAGGGGTTCCAGACTGTTTTCGTGGGACCCGTGAGACCACATTGTTACACGTAACCTTCACAGCAAAAACACTGTGAAAGTTTAAAAAAGTCGAACATTCACAGCAAAAACACTGTGAAGGTTCGACTTTTTTAAACCTTCACAGCGTTTTTGCTGTGAACTTTCAAGTGTAAAAAGTTGGTCTCATGGGTCTTACGAAAACAGTCTGGTATCACGTGAACCCAACTATATATATATATATATATATATATATATATATATATATATATAGGGGCACGTTCAAATGAAAACCGTGCATTTCTAAGAAATCGTGTAAATCAATTTCGACCAATAGAAAATTCTTTTTTTTTTCTAATTAAATTTAATCAATAAGGGTATTTCGGTCATTTACAATATTTTCTATTAAATATGGAAGTTATTAAAAATCTTAATTAAGGAAACGTAATAAAGAAAATTGTATAAATGGTAACATTTAAATATTTAATTATATAAAATATTAAAAATTTGGATTTCATATATTGTCATGAGTTATAATCAGGAAACGTGTCTTGATGAAACAATTGAATTATAGAATGAAATCATCAAAAAGTAGATAAACAAAAAAAAATCCACAAAATGAAACAAATTTCATGAACGTAAAACCGGTTCATGTTGCAAAGAAATTAGGTGAACCGAAATATTTTTATGGTGAACCCGTTGCATTGATGGTGTAGTTAATCCTTTTTTTATGAGAAGCAAAATGAAACCGGTGCATTTTGAAAAAAAATATAAAAAGGAAAATGAAATAGGTTTCATGAACGTGAAACCGGTTCATGTTGCAAATAAATTAGGTGAACCAAAACATTTTTATGGTGAAACCGTTGCATTGATAGTGTAGCTGATCCATTTTGTTGATGAAAAGGAAAATGAAACCGGTGCATTTTGAAAATAAATTATGAAAAGGAAAATGAAACAAGTTTCATGAACGTGAAACCGGGTCTTGTTGCAAATAAATTATGTGAACCAAAACATTTTCATGGTGAACCCGTTGCATTGATGGTGTAGTTGAGCCATTTTGTATTTCGCTCGTCATGAACGAAGTGCATGATAAAACGGGGAAATAATTTTAATCTGCTACATAATCTTGAAGATTGTAATCTGCTCCAAAATCTTCAAGATTGTAAGGACTAAATGAATGATTCCATCAAATTGGTGGTGAAATAATAAAATTACTGTACATGAAATAGTTTTCATGAAAGTGAAACTGGTTCATGGCAGTATTGAGCCTGATAAGTGAAATGGTTGCATAAGTGAAACAATTTCATGTTGTATTATAAACTTTTATGAAGTCAGTAATCGATGAAAAATTTTCGTTATCTAAGTGTAACGGATCCATCTACCAGGATAATGAAAATTATGAAATATGATCAGTATTACGTGGATTAATCTGTTGATTAAATTTTGAAACCAATTTCGTTCATATAATGTAATTCAAAATTTAAAACGATTCACTCCATATAATTGAATATGGTGTGTTATATTCATTTTTTTATATGTTTTATTGATAGATGTGATTTAAAGTTAAAAATAATATATTGCTTTAAAAAATGAAAATAGTGTCATTAATATCAAGAAGGATGTTACCAAATGTTAAATTTTGTTTACCATTTTTGTCATTACTGTTGAAATAAAATAATTTTTTAATATATATATATATATATTTAATTTTCTAAAATAAAGTAAACTAATTTTGGCAATTGATCAAGAAAATGGATGGATGAGATTGGTTTACACGGTTTACACAAATGGTGCATGTTTTTATTTGAACGCTCCTCTCTCTCTCTCTCTATATATATATATATATATATATATATATATATATATATATAGGGTATATTTCTTTTACAACCTTGTGTATTTGTACAACCTTTGCAACCTTTTTTTAACCAATCAATGAATAGGTTTTTTTAATTATTTTTTAAATGAAAAGGTTAATATTGTCCTTTGCTAATTTTACATATTTATTATTATTTTTAATTAAAAATAATAATAATCTATTTATGGTTGTAACCTTCTAATTACTATGTATATTTGAAATTGATATGGAAACTTTAAAATTTCTATAGAAAAAGAAATATGTACCTGGATGAATCTCGATGAAGCATCAGCACAATGGGTTCAACTTCACATACTCTTATGGATTCGATATCCTTCAATGAAACATTCGTCAAAGATACATTTGATGAAATTGGTGCCATCAACGGTAACCGTAAAGGTTTTGATCATGTTGGTGAATTTTCAACTGCAGCTG